TCTAGTTGGTCGGTTATATTGCTGTGATTATTTGGTGTAAAATATTGAGCTCCGAGTATATTCCATATATTAATTATGCTCAACTTACTTAGTCCACATGATGAAAATTCACTTCTATTTAGAACTCGTGTAACTAACTTGTGTAGAAGTAAGAGCTGTTGTTAATTCCTATTCTTTGCTTATATTGTTTCTATTGCTATCTCCTAATTATATTCATTGAAGATAAAAGCTCGAGAAATATTGATACAAGGGACGCTCTATTGCCATTAATGGAATCCGAAGTACAAAGTGAGACTAATAGAAGCTGGACGGACCTTGGTAGAGGGAGAACAAGTTAAGAAGAACATGAAGTATATGAGAACTTGGAGGTACAAGGTGAACAGCCAAAGTGAAGTCTTTATCATTGATGTACTTGGGAAGACCAATGGATAGCGGTTCGTAAGGTGATTTCCAACAAGCAGCTTGGATAGAATCATTGGATTGTTGATATAAGCAACTCTCCATATCAACTTTGATGAAAGTATTTATCATGTGATTACGTGATCTAGATTAGAAGACCCAGATATTCCTTTGAGTGAGTTTGTAGTAAAAAAGGTTTAACAGCTAGCTTCAAGGCCGGAAATTTCGAAAGGACATTTAGAAATAGGTCAAATCAGATCTTGTCTATTTTATTTAGGGAAAATACCACCAAAAATCTCAAACTATGTCACTTGTGACAAATTTACCCTTAACTTTTTTTTATGACACGAAAAACCCCAAACTATGTCACTTGTGACAAATTTACCCTGAACTTTTTTTTATGATACAAAAAATCTCAAAGTATGCTACTTGTCACACATTTACCCCACAATACTTTGGCCCATGGGCATTTTCGTCTTTTTCCTTTTTCTATTTTTTTTTCATTTTTTTTCTTTTCTTCTCCAACGAGGCTGCCCTCGCCAGATCTGGCGAGGGCGATCCTTGCCGGCATCGAGCGAGGGCAAGGGTCGCACTCCCCTGGGCGGGTGAGGGCAGCCCTCACTCGATGTCGGCAAGGGTCGCCCTCGCCAGATCCGGCATCGGGCGACTTTGCCCGACTCAGGCGAGGGCGACCCTCGCCGGCATCGGGCGAGGGCTGCCCTCATCGGATCTGGTGAGGGCAACCCTTGCCGGCGTCGGGCGAGGGCTACCCTCGCCGGAGAAGATAAGAAAAAAAAAAGAAAAAGATGAAAATACCCATGGGCCAAAGTATTGTGGGGTAAATGTGTCACAAGTGGCATAGTTTGGGGTTTTTTGTATCACAAAAAAAAGTTCGAGATAAATTTTTCACAAGTAGCATAGTTTAAGGTTTTTCGTGTCACAAAAAAAAGTTCAGGGTAAATTTTTCACAAGTGACATAATTTAGGATTTTTGGTGGTATTTTCCCTTTTATTTATTCAATCGGAGGAATGGACAATTACCATGTATAGCTGACTCTATTTGGGACCTCACCATTACCAAAAAGATTTGATTGTTTATGCGACTAGATCTCATGATGATTATGTCCATCAATTCCAACTAGGGGTGAGCATAGTCCGGGTGGATAGTTCCTACCCTAGAACCGAGAACTGCACAGTAAGGACCGGTTCCGAAAAATTGGAACCGGAAACCGCAAGTTGGTTTCATGGATCCACCCGGGAACCGAACCACGACCGATTCCGAAAAATTGGAACCGGAAACCGCCAGTTGGTTACATGGATCCACCCGGGAACCGGACCGCCGGTCCGGTCCGGTTCCCGAGTGGGTCCATGGAACCGGTCCCACTAGCCAAGGATGGAGACGGAAAGATGGAGACAGAGATGGAGAGTCGGAGACGGTAAGGTGGGCATCGACCAAGAAAAGTGAGAGAGTGAGAGTGAGCGTGAGGCGAAAGAGAAAAAAAGTGTTTCTCGACTCAATGTGAGGCTGTGAGCATTAAGAGAGTTACGTTTAGTTTAGGGATTTATGATTTTTCTTTTTTAAAAAAATAAAAATATTATATATTATATTATATTTATGATTATATTACCAGTCCCGTCTGAGTGGGCGGGTGAGCGGTTCTACACCTGGAACCGGGAACTAGAGCGGTACCCATCGGTTCCCAAAAATTGGAACCAGGAACTGGACCGGTTCCCTTAGGAACCTCCGATTCCAGGCGGTCTAGGCGGTTCCCGGTTCTTTTGCACACCCCTAATTTCAACAGCTAATTGATCCTTTTGGAGATCCTCCAATGATTAGTTTTGATATTGAAGACTATATAAGAGAAACGATAAAGACTACCAAAGAAAACGTTCACTCGAGGGCCATAACTTTCAATTGATAACTTGAATGTCATAAATTTTAAATAAAACGTGCACCACAAGTGCCATGTCATATCAATTTTCCGATACTTGTGATAAACATTTTTTAAAATTGCACTCAAATGAGTATCGTACGAAATTTGTGGCACTTGTGATTTTCTTTTTCTCTCCAAATGGCATTGATGGTTAATTATACTAGATTTTTAAATGTGGCGACAACTGTATTGACATTGCAAGGCCAATACTTTATGGTCTCGAGAATTCAACTTATATCGCGTGCATAATACTCTATGGTCTCGTGAATCGAACTTACATCCGTGACGCAATGTATGTCGGTGTCCCCGGACCATAATCACTAACAACTGTGTTTGACTGTCAACTTGTATTTTGTCTCGCGTTCTACGCGATCCATGAGATTAGTGAAATAAGTTTTGTACTCCTCATGCCTCAACTAATCAACCGTTTCACGTCCGGGCTTCATTCTCCAATTTCCTATTCACCATTTGGCATTTTTTTTTTATTTGCGTGCGAGTTAGGTTTTAAACTGCGTATAACCCACGCCTCTTTATTTTTATGGACTTCCTCTTGCATTATATACATGTGCCCACCACCTTAAAATTTTAAGCTTTTGTGTGCGAGCCTTTTGACACAATGATGCCGAATATTTTTCTTTCATGAGGTCCAATGTATTTCATATAAACCAAGAAATTATTTGCTTACCAAACCGACGCTCTCTTATGCCATCGTTTAAACAAGAGTACTCACTCAAGTTACTTATGCATTCATCCTAATAATATGTCTGTATTGGATGTTTCAATGCCAATTTTGGCCGAAAATCGCTGACGTGGATGCCGGCCGTCTTACGTGGCGTGGCCGGCATTAACGTGGACAATTTCTAATTTTTTTCGAATTTTTTATTTTTTATTTTCTTATATCTTTTCCTTCTTTTCTTTTCTTTTTTTATTGTGGCCGGTGAGGGCCCGGCAACCCTTATCGGCCACAGTTAAAAAAACGAAGGAAAGAGAAGAAAAGAAAAAAATGGAAAAAGAAAACAAAATTAATTAAAAAATTCAAAAAATTTTAAAATTATCCACGTCAATACCCACATTAGCGATTTTTCTCAATTGGCAAAATATAAAAAGATTTAGGACTGAATTGGTATAATTAAAAGGTTTGAGACTGAATTGGCAAAAGTACAATAAGTTTATAATTATTTTGGTAATTTTCCGTCATAAACATGACGGATGCAAAGCCAACAAATTCATTCAAGGTTCGGAGGGAATAGCCCCAACTGCTTCTTGAATAATTTCTGCACGAGGCTTTTGATTTGATAAGTCTAAGTTGGTTCCTGAAATGAATGGGGCAATTATGAGAAGAATCATCGAGAGGCGAGGCGAATCCAATTAAAGCTGGAAAGCTCCACCTGATGCACTGAAAATGTGTAAATATCCAAAAGGAGGGTTGAATCTTGAGTTGGAGTAGTCCCAAAAATGGAGGGTGAAGACATGTATTCACTTTTGGCTGTCCCTCATTCTGCGCATTGCACCCTTTTAATCACATGTGGGAGTACGCAATGCAAATGGAGCATCTAGCCCCGTTATCCATATTCTTGCACCTTACCTGATTTTCGTGTAGAACCACATTTCATAGTTTAGGAATCAAATAAAACCCGTCTAACACTTCAATAATTGGGGCTGCAAAGCAAGTTTGCACGTGCGACACCTCGCACCGCGACGCAGTTAAAGCACAGCGATGGTCACATCAAGAATTCTAAGGCGATGCTATTTTTCAAGTCCTTTTTTCCTTCGAGTTAAGCTTTCTATTGGTCACAAGTTTCTTGGTGAGCAATATCAAGTTTTCGGACATGCTTAGATTTTGACAACTTCAAACTAGAGGATCTACATCTTCTTCACAATGATTGCATCTCTGTTTCCTCAACATTTGAGCTTGTTAGTTTCTGTGTAATATCATTTAAGATACCAACTTAACCTTGTATTAAGAAAACTTTCATGGCTCTGTCAGACATTATTGGCAGAAAGTGGAGTATAAGAATAGTCATCCAAAACTAACGATGCCTTCAAATTAGATACCACTCTATGTAATCTCTAACCGTGAAGCAAGGCCAGCTTGCTTTATAAGAGGTGCTAATTTCAGTGGGCCAAATCACATAGCATAATATAAATATATATTTGGCTATGAAATCGCAAAGAAATATCGATGCATTTTCATCATGTGGGTTGAATCTCGAAATGGGTTTCTTCTTCTTTGTGAATAAAACATTTGATTGGCTAGACTTGTTCTCCATTCAATCCATTCTGCAGGTGTTTCTATCGCCTCTTAAATAAGTTCCGGTGGTCAATTAACAATTCCTTCTCACCAAATTGGAAGAAGGCAACATTAGGCGGGTCGGATCAGATCTTTTGCTTTGACGTAGGACATGCTAGGATTGACCAGAATAACTCTGATAATCCAAAGCATCTATCAATGCTGTTCCTTGCCGAGAAATGCTTCACGTTAAAAAACTCTTCCGAAGTGGTCGGCAAGCACCCTTTCTTCCAATCATGGAGCGTGAAGACATGTGTGCACTCTCTGCGCATTGCACCCTTTCATCACATGTAGGAGTTAATGTAGCACCAGGACCCCATTATATATACTTTGGCCATCTTCATTTTGCCAGGACATGTATTTGCTTCCAACCATCCTATCATACACATCTCCGAATAACATCCAAACTGCTGTCCCACAGAGCCAATTGAAATCAACAATTTCCCTCTCCAGTTCAGCCATGTACATTCATTCTTAACTTAAAAGCTTACTTACAACCACCCTCCTAAGTCCCTCCCCACCTTTTCTTGTACGCCAAACTAGTGAATCCAGCACACGTCCTTGAACTACAATCAGAGGCTAACCTAGCTAGTTAGAAGGTGGAAGGATCGACTACCAATTCATTCACAATGACGCATACATCTCCTTGCTTGGGCAAGGTGTTCAGGTTGGGGAGGCCGGGTTATGGAACAGTATGGGCTACATTACATATCATTATAATGGCCGCAATGGCCATGATGATGTCCGTGAGTGCCACCCCACCGGAAGATCCCATCAGATGCACCTCAAGCGGATGCACCATAACAAACTCCTACGGAACCTTCTCGGACCGAAGCACGTGCAAAGCAGGGGCTGCGGCATTTCCAACATCGGAAGAAGAGCTCGTGTGGGTAGTGGGAAACGCGACAAAGTCCAGGAGGAAGATGAAAGCAGCGACACGCTTCTCTCACAGCATCCCGAAACTGGTGTGTCCGGACGGGGAGGAGGGGCTGCTGGTGAGCACCAAGTACATGACGAGGATAGTGAGGGTGGACCAACAAGGGATGAGGATGAGCGTGGAGGGAGGGGTGACGCTGAGGCAGTTGATCGAGGAGGCGGCCAAGGCGGGGTTGGCGCTGCCATACGCGCCATACTGGTGGGGTCTGACAGTCGGAGGGATGCTGGGGACGGGAGCGCATGGCAGCTCCTTGTGGGGGAAAGGGAGCGCGTTGCACGACTACGTGGAGGCGATGCGAATAGTGAGCCCAGGAGGGCCTGCAGATGGTTACGCCAAGATCAGGACGCTGGATGTGAATACGAAGAGCACTCGTGCAGAGATGAACGCAGTCAAAGTGTCGCTTGGGGTTCTAGGAGTCATCTCTCAGGTACACCTGCTCTCTAGTCTTTTCTCGTTTGTGCGCCCGTGTGAGTGCTTTTTCTCTACTATTCCTCACTTTTATCACATTACGTCTTGTTTACTTTTCTTCTGCAATCACCGAAAGAGATTTGTGTTACCTTTTCTTGTCTTTCCGGCTTCAATCATGATAGGAATTTACAAATACTTCACCAACCTCGTGGATGTGGTGAACCTTGATGTTGGGACTATCACGTGAAAATAATTTAAGCGAACTTGCAGCTTATTCGTTATACTATGTACTTTAACTGCATGTATTTATCTGCACTATAATCAGAAAAGTTATGTACATCACAAAATAGAAAATAATTTTTTTGTCAAATCGTAGACAAAGAATCACCTTTGCCACTTGATTTGGCTAAGACCGTTGTGGGTGTGACGATCCATTATCGATAAGTTTTAAGATTATTTCTTCCTGTATTATAAGACGAAATTCAACAAATCTCGTTCACTTTTATCATCTTTGAAAATTGTGTATATTTTTGACGTATGATATTAATTGTGATGTGAAGACTAATGAATGGATCCCCCACCACAAACATCTAGGTCCATTCCAATTGACAATTAAATGATCACTAACATGAAGGACAGCTGAAGTGATTTGGGTCTTCATAAGATTTTTTCATTTAGAAAAAAAAAAGATCATAGTGATTTCGATATTTGTACGTATAATTGTAGGTAACATTAAAGTTGCAACCACTATTCAAACGATCCTTAACGTACTCGATCAAGGGTGATTCGGACTTGGGAGAACAAGCAGCTATCTTTGGTAACCAACATGAGTTTGCGGATATTATGTGGTATCCAAGCCAACAGAAGGCAGTCTATCGCATCGACAACCGAGTCAATCTCAATGCATCCGGCAATGGGCTCTATGATTTCACCCCGTTCCGCTCCACACCTTCTCTCATTTTGGCACTACTCAGATCTACCGGTAAATAAGTAAAATAGTTTAAGGCTAGATTTAGAATTTGAAGTAGTCCAGCCCTACATTTTTCTGATTACTGCTCTGATGCTGCTCTAACAGAGGAATTGCAAGAGTCCCTGAACGAAGCCGACGGGAAATGCAACAGTGCAAAGCTAATTTCTTCTACCCTCGAGACCAGTGCTTATGGGTTGACAAACAACGGTATCGTGTCCTAAGTTGATTAATATAGTTGCACGTCATGGCGTTCATTATTCTAGAGATTTCGCTCACATTGATTTATATGAATGTTATGATTAGGTGTCATCTTCACTGGATATCCAGTGATTGGGTATCACAATAGGATGCAATCATCAGGCACCTGCCTAAACAGTCCCCAAGATGGTCTGATTACTGCTTGTCCATGGGATCCACGGGTCAAGGGGGAGTTCTTTTACCAAACCACATTTAGCGTTGGGCTCTCTATGGTAAAGAGCTTCATCGAAGACATTCAACGACTCATTGCACTAGAGCCTAAGGCACTGTGCGGAGTGGAGCTCTACAATGGCATCCTCATGCGATATGTTACGGCCTCTAGTGCTTACCTGGGCAAGCAGGAGGACGCCATGGACTTCGACATCACTTACTACAAGAGCAAGGATCCGCTGAGCCCGAGGCTATACGAAGACGTGCTCGACGAAATAGAACAGATGGCGCTTTTCAAGTACAGCGCGCTGCCTCATTGGGGGAAGAACAGGAACTTGGCGTTCGATGGAGTGATCAAAAGATACAAAAAAGCCCAAGAATTCTTGAATGTGAAGGAGATGTATGATCCGCTGGGGCTGTTTTCTAGCGAATGGACAGACCAAGTTCTCGGGCTCAAGGAGGGTGCGAGCATAGTTAGGGACGGATGTGCACTTGACGGACTGTGCATTTGTTCACAAGATGCACACTGTGCACCCAACAAGGGCTACTATTGCAGACAAGGAAAAGTCTATAAAGAGGCCCGAGTTTGTACTCGAATCAGTTCCAAAACACAATAAAGACCTGATTTCATCATTCTTAGGTTTCAAAGTTAAACCAAGCTCCTCAACTTCATCCGTTTGCGCTAATTGCGCATTGTGTGCACTGGTACACGGATGATGTTGTATTTAGAAGGAGAATGTGATCAAGAAATCAGAATGTCCCGATTGCCATGGGAGGGAACTAATTCAAGATGTACTGTCTTTGCTCTTTGCCTAGAGTTACAGTTGCCCTAGTGTTTTATTGTTCACATGTCTCCATGTATTTAGCAACGATTCATGTGATTTTCTTAAGCAGATGGACATGCTTTGTATTAGTGCAAAAGTCTTCAAACGTGTTAGATTAATATACTTATGATTTTGATTTGTTTCGGTTTAAAGACCGAATCAAACATATGAAAATTGCTCGGTTTACACTTTAACATGATGAAAAAAATTAAACCAAAGTAATAATTTGTTCGCATTTTTACCGGACATAAAACAATTTGTCCTTCGAGCGCGGGCCGAGAGTCCCATGAAGTCTAATGCCAATGGGTTGGCTTTGAACAGGCTTTGGCATCAGCTTTGTCAACGCCGAGTTCAACTATGCACGCTTTGCTCAGTTCTCACCCTTCTTTCTTGTCCAGGAGGCTTGACGATTTTCAATCCATGACCATCCCTGATGGCCTGCCACCTCCCTCCTATCCAGATACGACCCCGGACATGCTCGAATGCTCGGAGCTTCATTCCTCTTCCCTTCTCTCGGCTCATCGCCGCTCTCCAACAAACATCATCAGATGATTCCAGAGGCGTTTCTTGCATCCTCTCTGATGGTTTCATGTCGTTCACCGCCACTACTGCGGCTCGGCAGTTTGGCACCCCTCTCCTCTTCTTTTGGCCTGTCTCTGCTTCCTTATTCTTGGCCGCCATCAAGGACCAGCTGCGTCGTCTCGCACCCCCCAAAGGGGAGTGACGCTCTCGAATATGAAGTGGTACAAATTACGCCCTACATTTGTGAAATGGATTTGTGGTATACTACAACAAAAATCTTGTCGGGTGCTCACACCAATTTACACACTCATATCATTACTTGTGAAAATGCACTTGTTTGAATAACACTAGAAAAACTAAAAGCCCATCTAATATAGCTGTAAGACCAGTGATACAAATTTTAGGGTCTGTTTGTTTGAAGGGCAGTTGTTTTCGGGAAATTCTTTTTCGACTTTCCGTTGTTTTGATAACAAAAAATTAATTGATCTATGAAATTTTTTTCCATGCGTTGGGTGTGGTTTATCACAAGAGGCAGCGTTCGCACGACGTCAAAGGGCTTTTATAGTTTTTTCTTTTATATGGGAACAATATCGACATAATCTTTTTCTTTGCCCGGACAATAATATCCACTATTTTAAAAGTTGCAACTGAGTTCTCCATATACTTCTTATTGTTTAAATATTATCACTTTGATTTGTTTCTATAAATAAGACAAGGAAATCGTTCTCTTCTTATGGCTTTTTTATATGAAAAATGAAGTTTATATAATAAAATAGGAAACCTGTTAACTAAGTCTCCCATTTTTACGTTGGAAAATGCTTGGCTGAGGTTTGACCGTCCGTTTTCCAAGCTAATGGCACGGTTAGCCAAGCATTTTCCTTTAAGAATTAATAACGATATAAAGAACCATATTCTCCTAAGTCACTAAAGTGATTTACTGGAGAACTAAGATATCCCATTCAAAGATTGAAATAGCCTTTGATATTTCCCCATGAATAAGGTAGTTTAAAGTTAAGAGAAGTTTACCCTTTAATATAGCAATAACTACATCAATCATTCCATATTTTAAAAAGTCAATACTTGGCATCAGCCAATATGTGATTAGACCATTAATTTTCCTACTAAATAATGATTTATTTACCTATACTTCCAATAATCATCAATCAAATGTCTTCTTCTATTTGCTTTCTTGGTTTGGAACTGCATCAAAAATGGAAGCTAAATCCTTAATACAAATGCACATTTGATTGCTAATCTCATTTAATTAAAGTATGACCATATATTACAAGAAAATGTTTGAGAGTATTGCAAGGTTATTCTTCGATGATTTTTCCCACTTTCGTACACAATCCTAATGACTATATAAGTGCTTTGGCACACATAGTGGAAGTCAATTGAGGCCTTATCACGGTGTGACACAACTTCTACCTTCACTAAGCTTAAAAGTAATACAGCTCCCGAAATTGGAGAAAAGGAAGGCCTCCGTTCGTCATGAAGCCAAGACCAAAATTTGGGCTGAGTTTCTTTCTAGACTAACTACTCGCGTAACACCTGTCCTCCACCTTCTTCGTTCCCTTATTTTGTTCTCTCCGAATCTATTTTGAAAATTTATTTAGGCTTCATTTGTTTCGCAAAATATTTTCCTCACTTTCCGGTGTTTGGATTGCTTAGAAAAATGAGTCAATGGAAAACCTATGCTTAAATTCAACAAACAAAAAATCATTTTCCAAAATATGATTAGATATTAGTGCTTGGACCAGAAACCCTACGCTTGGACACAGAAACCCTAACGCTCATTTCCGGATCGCCAGCGTCCAGGACCGGGTCCCCGGTGCCACGGCCAAGTCCATCAAGGACTGGGCCGGACCACGGTGCCCATGCCCAGGTCTTCAATGCCTACGCTCGGGTCCATCAAGGCTGAGCTTAGGACCCCGATGCCGGTGCCAATGCCCACTGGTCCCCGATGCCTAGTACTGAGGCCCTATTACCCATGCCTAATGCCCTGACACCCGAGCCCCGCTCCACAAAGGCTAAGCATGAGACCCTGCTACCCATGGCCCAATCCCTAACACTTGGGCCTAGGTCCCCGACGCTCGGGCTCGACTCCCCAACACCTCAGCCCAAGTCCACAAAGGCGGTACTCGATTCCCCGGCGCTCAGGCTCGTGGCCCCAATACTCGGGCTCGGGTCCCAATGCCGATGCCCAAACCCTTGCACCCAAGCCCAAGTCCATTATGGCTAGGCTCGGGACCCTGGTGCCCGTGCCCTAGTCTATCAAGGTCGAGCTTGAGACCATGGTGGTCAGGACCGAGTCCACACTGACCGGGCCCTAAAACCCCTGTGCTTGTGCCTGGATCCCCGGCACTTTGGTCAAGGTCCATCAAAGCTAGACTTGGGATCCTGGTGCCCGTGCCTAGTTCCCCGGCTGCCCATGAGCAAGTCACTAGCGCTCGAATCATGTATGTGTATTTAGGAAAACCAAATCAGGTTTTTCTTTCCAAACGATTGAAAATATTTTCCGGTTATTTTTCATATTTCAACCAAACATGGGAAAATATTGTCATTTTCTTGGAAAATGACTTCCTAGAAAATATTTTCTAAAAAACTAATATTTTCCGTGAAATAAATAGAGCCTTAGCATACTTCCGTGGGAACATAAATGATGAAACGTTTAAGACAAAAAAATATCATTATGAGCTCGCTGGTAATCTTACGGTTGATGCAGGAAATTAACTGATTGTGTAGTTAACATAAAAGGAAACATAAAAACGAAATCAATTCTTCCAAAAAGCAAAGTCAAGGAAGATGATGAGGAAATTAAATGTAAAAATTGTCCAAAAAATTCCAAACCTATTGTATGGCAGCCAATTCAATCCTAAACCTTTCAATTATACCAATTTAGTACTAAACATTTTGATAATTTGCCAATTTAAACCTAAACCTTTTAACAATTTTCCAATTTAGTCATTCCAATTAATTTTGGCCGGAAAATTGTTGACATGGACAATTTTTGCAATTTTTTTAATATTATTTTATTTTTCTTTTCTTTTCTTTTTGCTTATTTCTTTTTTCCCTCCACCGGCCATCACCGGTCCTCGTCAATCGCTAGCAGAGGTATTCGGCCTCAAGCGAGGACCGCCCTCACCAGCCTCTGGCAAGGGATGCCCTCGCCAACCTAAGCATGGGCGTCCCTTGCTCAAAGCCGACAAACTCCATTGACCATTGACGAGGCCTAGTGATGGCTGGTGGAGAGAAAAAAGAAAAAAGAAAATAAAGGTAAAAGAAAAATAAGAAAAGGAAAGGAAAAAAAACAAAAAAAAATTATACAATTAAAAAAATTATCCACTCCTGCACCAGTCATATCACATAAGACGGATGGTGCTAACTAAACTACCAAGTCAGTGAATTCCAATCAAAATTGGCCAGAAGGGCTAAATTGGCAAATCTTTTAAGAGCTTATGTTTAAATTGACAAATTATCAAAAGGTTTAGGACTAAATTGGTACAATTGAAATGTTTAGGACTAAATTGACAAGTTGTCAAAAGATTTATCACTAAATTGGCACAATTGAAAGGTTTGGGACTAAATTGGCCAATATACAATAAGTTTAGGACTTTTTAAACAATATTTCCAACATTAAAGATAATGGAGAAATCAAATATTTAGACGGATTGGGAGATCAAGACATACATCTTTAATTTATATGTGTGGCTGAGATATTTTTGCGAATCCTGTATTATGCTGCCGAGTTAATACATTGAGTGACATATTGAAGAAAATCTAGGTTTCGATAATTTAACGAGACAGCTTTTAGGGGAGAAACATCACTCTTCAGAAAGTAAAATGTTGAGTGTAGTAAAATTGGACATTTGAAGGAAAGTGATTCGTCTTCCCTTGTTTGGTTGTGAGCATGAAAATGAGAGGGAAGCTATATAATTTAGTAAGTAAAACATAAACATACACGAAAGTATGGAATTTTTTAGTTTTTTTTCTCTGGTTCCTTGGTCGGTGTTGGAAAGAAGTGAAGTGGTAAGTACAATCTAATTTGAAATTTTAATATATACCTTCTGTGCTCTCCATGAGAGAGAGAGAGAGAGAGAGAGAGAGAGTGAGAGAGAGAGAGAGAGCACTTTATAAAAGCTTTACGCTTCGTGACATGTAACAATGTGAAATTTAGCTAATAAAAACGTTTTGCTCTTATTAGAGAGGAGAAAGCATTTTCTTGATTTTGATGATTTTGAGTGCAACTTTTTGACTTATATTTTGAACGTTCCAAATATCGGAAAATTTAGAAAATGGAATAGCGGAAATTCTTTTCGATATAATAAACGCACCCTCGTCTTAATCTGAAGATTCATCGACATTTGCTTACTTTTGAAGGGTTTTCACTTGTGGCAGGTTGAATCTAAAGTGGATAGAACGTATGCTTGGAGAAAGATTTTCAAACTTGGAAGCAATATGCTTGAACTACATTTGAAATGTGTGGTTATGAATGACAA